AAAAAAAACCCAGTTCCCCCAGTCTGTTGCCAGGCAATGCAGCACACACGCCAGGAACTCACAAGCTACTTTGTATTTACATTGATCTGCAACTGTGTAACTTCGTCCAGTTCGGCTGATGAAATGTTGGCAAACCTGGATGTTGGCACGGATTCAAACACACCTGGAGGTCTGCACTAAAGAGTCTTGGCTTTCCTTTTCCTCGTCCTCTCCTGACGACCACTCATAATTTAATTCAATTGTAATGTGGGGGAAAATATTCATCTTCTTGGTGTAACACTATAGTGTCAGTTTGCCTCAATGTAGCGAGTGTGACAGTTGGTGAATTAACGGTTGTATTTATATTTATAATACCTGTGAGCAGAGTGATTTTACTGTTACATGTCCCAATGATGTTGTACTCTATATCAGCACTCACGGAATGCCTCTCGTCCAATCAAATTACTCGGTCGGAACTAACTGTTGTATAATACATATTATATGTATCTATATATATCTATCTATCTATCTATATATATAGATAGATAGATATGGCGCACGTGTGTAAATTAACAGTCACTTTATTCTAAAAGTGGTAAAGAAAGCAAGGAGAGAACATTTAATAAAGCCCTGGAGGGTGGGAGTGGATGAACCCGGTTAAAGAGTACCCGCCCGGAAGGGACGCTCTAATACCAAAGCGAGCGTGCCCACAAGGAGGCAGGGATCATTTCATTGGTCAACAGTAAATCTGGCATTCTATTGGTTGGGGGATTTTGATAGGGTTGTTACACAAAAAAATCCAAGTGCAGGGCAGAAATCTGAGAGCAGAAATTCCGCAAGCGCACAGAAACAGTTTGAGTGCGAGGAGAAAAGCCGAAGCTCGAGCAGGAAATCTGTGCAAGCAACATGGTATCTGAGAGCAAGCAACATGGTATCTGAGTGTGAGCACACAGTTTGAGCAGAAACAGAGTAGATCCAAACACAAGCAGAGGCTATTTGAGTGCGAGGGCAGGGTTTTTGAGCGTGAAATCAATAAATAATGCTCTCAAACTGATAGACCACTCTCTTGAATAAAGATAGGGATAAAGCTCCATACTTGACAACATGAACAAACACACACACAGCACAAAGCAGAGTTACGTCAACATTACCATTTAGTCAGCGTTAGATGGTTTTATGTTTAATGGTAATGTCACAGTTAATGCTAGCTAACAAATCAGCGGGAACTGCCCATTGGTCCGACAGCCCATTGGTTCGACATCCCATTGTTCCGACCATATTAAACCCATCGGCTTCTTCTCCGGAGCCTTTGTGCTCCACTGTCTCTCAGATTAACTCATATCGCAGCGGTGCCTGGATAGCGTGACATGTGTGGTTGTGCTGCTGCCGTGGTCCTGCCAGATGCCTCCTGCTGCTGCTGCTGCCATCATTAGTCATTAGTCATACTTCTACTGTTATTATACACATATGACTATTGTCACACATGTATACTGCCAGATATTAATACATACTTTCAACATATTGTACCACAGTAGCCAGAACTATAACTATAATATTATTACTTTCAATAATGTTGTTGTAAGCTACTGTCTTTACCTGCCTCTCTCTCTCTCTCTCTCTCTCTCTCTCTCTCTCTCTCTCTCTCTCTCTCTCTCTCTCTGTCTCATTGTGTCATGCGGATTACTGTTAATTTATTATGCTGATCTGTTCTGTATGACATCTATTGCACGTCTGTCCGTCCTGGAAGAGGGATCCCTCCTCAGTTGCTCTTCCTGAGGTTTCTACCGTTTCTTCCCCCGTTAAAGGGTTTTTTTTGGGGAGTTTTTCCTTATCCGCTGTGAGGGTCCAAAGGACAGAGGGATGTCGTATGCTGTAAAGCCCTGTTAATGAAAAAGAAAGTGACAAACACATAAGCCGTGAGCCTGCTCCGCCTCAAGCCTTTCCCAGCTGACCCAGAGCCGGTCGCGGCGCACCATATGCCCGCCGCAAGCCGTTCAGCATAGCGGACAGTCGGACTAATGGGATGTCGAACCAATGGGCTCTCGGACCAATGACATGGACCCCAAATCAGCAGCCAACACTTGCATTAACAGTGTGTGAGCTGACTGCATTGTTGACATCAAAATCAAAACAAACATTCAAATAATTGAATGGAAAATGGAATGATTTGAACTAATGATAATAGAGAAAAACTAAGATTTTTATTTCGGAACAGTTAGATTGTATTTTGGCATGGTTCAGGGTGATTGGTGGGGAAGTTAGCATCTATGATTCTGTTCTCACAGAAACTACAGGGCCTTGCCGTAATGCTGCCATCAGCCTGTCAGTGGCCCCTGTCAAAAAGACACTTAGCCGCCGGCCCCTGTCAAACGATACTAGGCTTTATGACTTTTCTGGGGGAAACCCTGTATCCAATATTTTATACCAACGTGAATCAAATAACTATGTGTAAAAGAAGTGGGGACAAAAGGAAATATTCGGCAGCTATCAGGGCCTTTTAGCCTCTGTTAGAATATTGATTTGGTTTTACAGCTCATTTGGTAGGGTGGGGGGTCTGATTCTGGACCGCTCTGACTCACTGCCAGGTCAGCAAACCTTCTGTTGTTCTGTTGCTGCCGTGCCGTTACACAGGTGACCCAGAGCTACAGCTGGCCAATAGCCCACTGTGACCCCAGCGCTGGGGTTTGTGCTGGCTGAAATGGAGTCACTACAGCACTAAGGACTGAAGGTCAAAGTGGCGGGGAGTGAGGTAGAGGGAGGTAGCAAGGTATGCACTAGTTAGCTTATACTTGTTTCATTTGTGGTCTGAACACTGGAGTTCTTCTGCCCACAAATATAATCAAATTCAACTTCAAGTAGGACTTTAAAATGATCTCACTGATGTAATCTCTGTTTCTTCCTCCAGGTGGCCTACTGTAGCCATGAGGGGGCCCCATTCTCTGGGCTGTTTGGGTCCAAATGTTTACCCAGAGGTGCCTGATGGTGGCTGGGGCTGGGCTGTGGCCGCGACCTTCTTCTTGGTGGAGGTCTGCACCTATGGGACCCTCAAGAGCCTGGGCGTCTTCCTTCAGGATCTGATGGAAGAGTTCGGGGAGAGCAACAGCCGAGTGTCATGGGTCATCTCCATCTGTGTCTTCATCTTTACCTTCACTGGTCAGTCATTAGGGCTTTACTCATATGTCTTTCTTTTCTTGTTTCCTTTTTTTGTAATCGACTTCTTACACTATGACACACGTGTGCAGGACAAAGACTTAGTGGTAAAGCAAATGAGTGCAATGTCCAATCAGTGTTAATAGGGTGATAACTCCCTGACATCCAATGATCCTCAGGTAATGTGACAACATTTGCACTTTACAGGAGTTCCAGTTTAGTTGCTTTCTCTGATTCATACAGGTCCTGTATGTGTGAAACTATTGCTCCTTGCTTTAACATTGCGGTAAGACATATGACTGGTCACAACATTCCAATCTGAGGACATCCCTTAGACTCGAGTCTTCTATGATGTTGAGTGGTCTGCAGTCAGTTGTCACCCATGTAGTTAACTTCTTCGATTTTGTTTCATCCACAGGTCTGTAGTGAGTCACACTCCTAAATAGTGCTTTGCCAACACTGGTGATGCAGGTGCCCTCTGACACCAGTCTGATTAGCTGCAACTGTGTGCTCAGCTTGTAGGTTGTAGCTCAAACTGGAAGTACTTCAGTGAAATTTTAATTTTGTTTGTCACAAGGTGCATATTACTTTTGACATGTCAATTGAGCCGTGTGGGGGATTTTTAAATTGAAAGGAGCCGTTCAAAAGTGCAGTGGTGTCATCATTTTCCATCACTGCAGCGCTTGACTACAAGTCAGGGTGCATTAGAGGGACAAAATGGCAGTAACAGCAAAACAGCAGCAGATTAATGCAACTCAAAAAACGTTCAGACCCTAATCGCATTGCAAATCACATTTGCAATGCCTATTTTTGTATATGGGGCATTCTACCGAATGTGTGCAAAGTTAGGATGGAAATATTTTGAAATTTTGTATGTTTTATTTCCAAAACTTTATCCCTATATATATTGTACCATATGTTAAGGTCACATATCTAGTAAAATGACTGTAAATTTTTATATTGTATTTTCAGACTGTTTTGGAATGTTTTTCCTCTCCCAAAATTTGTCACTACCGAAACATATAGTATTATATTCTATCACAAAATATATATCAACCTGTTATGCTTGTTCCTTCCCTTGTCTAAAGATTTAATTTTTTACAAATTTTGACTGAAGGTTTTTACAATTAAATCTATAAAAATTAATATTTTAACAAATTTCAAAGCTCAAATTATAGAATTCTTCAAAATCTAAATGCAATCTTTCTTTGTAAAATGCATAACACTGATCAGATTGATTTCAGAGTTAATAACTGATGAAACAGAACATAAATGTAACCGATTAGCATCATAATACTTTAGTTGATAACTCAATATACTTTATTTTTTACAAAACACCCAGTGTTTCGGTAGTGACTGCACTGTTTCGGTAGTGACTGTCCTGTTTCGGTAGTGACCATTATTCTGTTTTTAAGGTTGCATCATATTTCCTCAAATGTATGCCTTATGGTGGGAATATTACAAAGACAAAGACAAATGTTTTGTGGTCAATAAAACAATTTAATTTTTGAGAGAGCAGAGCAGAGTAGAGTAGAGTAGAGTAGAGTGGAGCAGAATACAGCAGAGCATAGTAGAGTAGAGTGAAGAGTATAGTGGAGCAGAGTATAGTAGAATAGAGTAAAGTAGAGCAGAGTATAGTAGAGTAGAGTAGAGCAAAGTAGAGCAGAGCAGAGTAGAGAAGAAAGAGCAAAGTAGAGTAGAGCTGAGTATAGTAGAGCAGAGTAGAGCAGAATATAGTAGAGTAGAGCAGAGTAGAACAGAGCAGAGCAGAATAGAGAAGAGTAGAGTATAGAGTAGAGCAGACTAGAGTAGAGCAGAGTAGGGTAGAGAAGAGTAGATTATAGAGTAGACCAGAGTAGAGCAGAGTAGAGTAGAGCAGAGTTGAGCAGATTATAGAGTAGAGCAGAGTAGAGTAGAGTAGAGTAGAGTAGAGCAGAGTTGAGCAGATTATAGAGTAGAGCAGAGTATAGTAGAGTAGAGCAGAGCATAGTAGAGTAGAGAAGAGTATAGTAGAGCAGAGCAGAGTATAGCAGAGCAGAGCAGTGCAAAGTAGAGCAGAGTAGATCAGAGCAGAGTAAAGCAAAGTAGAGCAGAGTAGAGTAGAGCAAAGTAGAGCAGAATATAGTAGAGCAGAGCAGAATAGAGCAGAGTAGAGCATAGTAGAGTATAGTAGAGCAGAGTAAAGTAGAGTAGAGCAGAGTAGTGCAAAGTAGAGCAGAGTAGAGTAGAGCATGGTAGAGTAGAGTAGAGCAGAGTGGAGAAGAGTAGAGTAGATTATAGAGTAGACCGCTGCGAGGGTCATAAGGACAGAGGGATGTCGTATGCTGTAAAGCCCTGTGAGGCAAATTGTGATTTGTGATATTGGGCTTTATAAATAAAACTGATTGATTGAAATTGATAAAGTAGAGTAGACCAGAGTAAAGCAGAGTGTAGAGTAGAGCAGAGTAGAGTAGAGCAGAGTTGAGCAGATTATAGAGTAGAGCAGAGTAGAGTAGAGCAGAGTTGAGCAGATTATAGAGTAGAGCAGAGTAGAGTAGAGCAGAATATAGAGCAGAGCATAGTAGAGTAGAGAAGAGTATAGTAGAGCAGAGCAGAGTATAGCAGAGCAGAGCACTGCAAAGTAGAGCAGAGTAGAACAGAGCAGAGTAAAGCAAAGTAGAGCAGAGTAGAACAGAGCAGAGTATAGTAGAGTAGAGCAAAGTAGAGCAGAATATAGTAGAGTAGAGCAGAGCAGAATAGAGTAGAGCAGAGTATAGTAGAGTAGAGCAGAATAGAGTAGAGTAGAGCATAGTAGAGTAGAGTATAGTAGAGCAGAGTAGTGCAAAGTAGAGCAGAGTAGAACAGAGCAGAGTAGAGCAGAATAGAGTAGAGTAGAGCATGGTAGAGCAAAGTAGAGCAGAGTAGAACAGAGCAGAGTAGAGCAGAATAGAGTAGAGCAGAGTAGACCAAAGTAGAGTATAGTAGAGCAGAGTATAGTAGAGTAGAGCAGAACAGAGCAGAGTAGAGCAGAATAGAGTAAAGCAGAGTAGAGTAGAGAAGAGTAGAGTATAGAGTAAAGCAGAGTAGAGTAGACCAGGATAGAATAGAGCAGAGAAGAGCAAGATTTTGGTCCACAAAATTATGGTGTTTAACTACTGACCATTCCATTTTGTCACTACCGAAATGATCATGTCACTACCAAAACTTTACCATAGGTTTCGGTAGTGACTGTTTTGGTAGTGACATTCCTAGCTATTTTTCAGGATAACTAAAGAATGCTAGCAGTCACATGGCTAACAAGCATATGTTTGATATGTTCACACAGAAAAACATAATATTTTGCATAAACCCCCCAAATTTTTACATAATTGAACAGAACATGTGTTCGATAGTGACGGTTTTAAAAGTTACACACTGATTTTCAGACTTTGTAAGACATTTATTTAAAAAATGATGGGAGTCAGCGACTTACCATACAGCCATCTGGGACCGGGGTGCAGTACTACCCCCCTTCTCAGAAATTCAGGGGTGTGGCTAAAATCCACACAGTGTATTAAAACTCTTGTGTTTCGGTAGTGACATGAAAACAAGGGACACTACTTTTTTAGCATAGCTTCTTAATTTAAAAATTAATCCCACAATACATCTAAATCTTTCAACTTGTGTTTAAACTTAATCACAAAGATGTTTTAAATTACACTTTTGAAAAAAATATGAAAAATGTTTTAAGTGTTATTTACATGAATTGAATTTTAGAGGTCAGGGTTGGGGACAGCTACTTCCCAATAGAAAGTACCCTATAAATGGTGATTTTGTATATATTTAGCTTATCACTTTTTCATTTAATGTCCTGGGTTTAAATAGGTCATAACATAATCTTTGTAAATATCTATGTCTAAATACTAAATTAGATCATTTTTGTTGTTTTTTTGTTAAGGGACAGCACTTTGCACAAAATCCGTAGAATGCCCCATATATGTAATTGAGTTGAAATGATTAAATCAAAGGACTGCCATGTCTTTCACCCCCACCCCAGCCCCCCTGTCCACGATGCTGAGCAACCGCTTTGGCTATCGTCCTGTGGTGATGATGGGAGGCTTCCTTATCAGCCTGGGAACCATCACCTCTGCCTTCGTCAGCTCCATCAATGAGATGTACATCACCATCGGTATTGTCTCAGGTACTTATAAAACTCAAACCAGCATACTCAGCAGCATCCATCCATCCATTTTGATATCATTGAAGCCTGAAATGCCTGATTTCAAATGTGCCACATGCTGCAATTTTTATAGGCATTTTTTTTCCCATTGAAATTGTGGGGGCATGTAAAAAGTGCAAAAATAGTTGAGATTCTGTCTGGAATTTGAAGCATATTATTAGTAGCATTCAGTGCTTCCCACAGAATTAGAATCTATTTGTGTTGGTGGGGATGGTTTGGGTTGGGGGCAGCAACAGCCAGTCACTGCCAATCAGCTGTTGCTGCCATTCGACACAGCACCAAAGGACCATCTCCATGAGCTGCTCTCCTCCTGCTCTCTCTGCTCAGTTAGCACGAACTAAACATGATTGTATCACTAGCCGTCATATTTTGCTGCTTGGCCCAAATCCCTTCAGCAGTGGTTAGCATCTGACACTGTGCCGTTAATCTTCACACCGACAGCAAAATGGCTCTATTGTGTCATTAAACCTTTTAATTACCATTGGTTTACATTAGATGAATACAGTTGCGCAGGGTGGCGAACCCCACGCAGAGCTAGTTTCGAGCAGTGCAACCCGAGGTGTGCTCAGTTTGGTAGTTTGGCAGACCGAGGTGCACTGAGATGGGTGTGGCGGCGCAGCAGGGGGAGGTGTCGACAGATCCAGCTTGGCGCAGTGACAGTTTTGTGCCAAAAGGCTTTGCCGAAGGTGCGCTAAAAGCTCGCCAGCTGAAACCAGGTCTACTGTCAGCGCAGACTGAACGCAGCCGGTGTAAGTGAAAGTTTGGCTGACCGGAGGACAGTGTGCACACGTCACCAAAACCTAGGCAGGTTTCCGGAATGTCAGGCACATTAACAATGCCATAAATAGCCACAAAAACCACTATTCAATGCAACTATCTGCAATCAGCACATAAATGTATCTCTATATCGACTGTCTCGTCACATCTGATGTCAGATCAAAGGGGATTGACACCGTTTGGCAAACCCAACCTGATTTGATTAACACAGCTGCAAACTAATGAGTTCACATCCCTCTCAGCCAACCACAAACAGCCACAGCATCAGATAGTAGGGGTGGGAATCTTTGGGCACCTCACGATTCGATAACAATTACGATTCAGGGACTACGATTCGATTATGAAACGATTATTGATGCATCTTTAATTTATGTATATTAATGCACTTTTTCACAACACACATTTCTTTTTGTCTCACTGAATAAGCATTCAACACTTACGATTTTTAAAAACAGTGCATTTGTAATAAGAAACAGTTGAATTCATTTCCATTATATTTTATTAAACATATAAGTGGAAATGCGTGCAAACTGGAAAGTTACAACTTGGTTGTACGGAACCGAAGGTAACAACAGGTATCTTAAATCACAAGATAAAATGCGCAGTTAGAGTAACAAATGATTCGGTGGCGACAGACGTCCACGCATCACCTTTAACTGCGATCCTATGTGCTTTCAACAGCGAGGCCATGACTTTTGTTTTGGTTTGGTTGTAGAGGGTCGGGATGGCTGTGTTGGTGAAATAGCGTTGTGATGGGATGGTGTATCTGGGCTCCAATGTATGCAGCAGTGCTCGAAATCCCTGATTTTCCACGACGAAATAAGGACGCAAATCCTTGGCAATAAATGCCGCGATGGCCTTCGTAATTCGCTTCGCCTTTTCCGATGAGGGTGGCAGCTTTCTAACGGCTTCCTTGATTGTTCTCTGGTCGGAAGCGGCACTAATAGCAGCAGCAACAACAGCCTGCCATCTCCCTGACTCCTCCGTCGGGTGGAATTGAGTTACATGGCTTCTCATGTTTGTTGTGTTGCCAAAGTATTTTATTTTAGCAGGACGCAGCTTACATATAACGTGGCTCTTGTCCAGTTCGCTTCCGCCGTCGACGTTGTAGAAGTCGAAGTGTTTCCACACATCTGCTTTTAAATTAGAAGGAGCTGTTCGGATCTCATGGCGAGGTGAGTGGCGGTCAGCCATGTTTGTTTTCCTCTGTGTGCGTGTCGGCATGTCCGGTCCAGGTGCACATCCCAAAGTGTCCCGGAGATGACACGTACTGCGCTTCTTAGTTCCGCATTATTTAGAACCTTCTGTATTATTCTAATTAACAGATTTAAATAATCGAAATTTGGACGTTTGTGAATTCAGATTCGTCTACGTCCGAATCGCAATGCATCTAAGAATCGGAAATTTCCCCCACTCCTATCAGATAGGGAGCATATATTCAGCATCTGTCATCTTAGAAAAGCCAAAAGAAAAGAAACAGAGTGAGACTGCAAAAGAGAAAGAGAGAGCTTGCGCGCGCACGAGAGAAATGCAACATTGATTTGCAATTGTGGTGACCTCCTCCCTGGCTACGACCTCCCGTGGAGGTCTGCTCGCAGTTCCGTATATTCGGACATTGCGAGCTTGGACCTCCCGGACCAAAACATCAGTTTCCTCCTGGGAGAAGTTTGGCCATCTTACGCTGCTGCTCTCTTCTGCCATGGCGAATTGAGTAAACTCTCATTACTCCTTCGTGCAGCACATTTAAGGGCGAGAGAGAGGGGCTCATTTGATTGGTGTGATGTGTGTAAAACCCACTCCACGCCTTCTCTCTTCCCTCACCTCGGGACGGAGGTGGGAAAGAGGAGTAGCTGCATCAGCACGCACGGTGTGCCAAACTTGCAAAATCTGCCTGGCCACACCCAGTTGGCGAAGCACAGGTGCGCTGCGCCTCCACCTCGCCCGGTCTGCGAAACTAGAGGCCTTTGACTTTAGTCACAGAGCTGTGGTCCCACACCAGCAGCCCCATGATAAATAGAGAGAGAAGCCCTTTTTAGATAGGAATTGTGCAAATATGCAGGAAAGCCCAATCAGTCTTTTTTTCAGCATTGGCAGTATAAAAGCAAAATTGGGGAATGCGGCAAAATGCCGCCTACCTACTTTTGTTTATACAGAATACGCCTTTTTCGGTGCAATGGGGGGCATGAGCAAGTAACAAAACAAGTAGCTCAGCGTGTGACATAACCAGTGACATGGGAGGGAAGCCGCGGCTAGTCAGTGCTTTGGTGATTCTCTCGTAAGTCGGCCCTTTCTTCACCGTTCCTGTCATCTGATGGTTAATGGCCTCTTCGTTTGCAAGGGCAAGGAGGTGCGCAATTCCTTGTCTCCCCAGTTGCTCATCTTTACAGTGTCTGTCAGGTTTGCTTTTCCCTCTTGCTACTAGCTGCTCACTAATTCCTGCTATCAGCTGTTTATCCACCGCCAGTGGCTCGCACATGAGGCGTCATCAACAGCTCCTCCCACAAGTCTTCAACAGCCCCTCCCGTTGCGGAAGGCTGCCTCGGTCTGTTTAAACTGAAAGGGTTCCGCCAATATGTCTACCCTACGAGGCGGAAAATTTGGCACCTCGGATCAACTCGCCAACCTGGCTCCGCGTGTCTAAACGCATGCAGCTTGCCAGCAAAACAGCCCAACATTCATGGAAAATCTGGCAGTGTAAAAGGGGCTAGAGAGAGGGGCTGCCAAAATCAATATGCTGCGCACAGCTCTAAAATGAAATGAGATTTTACCTGTTTGAAATAGTCAATTGTATGGTAAAGTTGCAGTGATTGGACAAAATTGCAAGATTGCACAGAATCCATGGGAATTAGCTGAATTTGTGGTAATTGTTGCAATCACAACATTGCAAACTCCTGGAGGGACTGATCGATCCATCCATCCATCCATCCATCCATCCATGTATCTGTCTGACTGTGTCTGTTTCTGTGTGTGTAATTGTGACATGCCATTCACAGAATGGCTGCATTGCTCTTACAGATGTGCTTGTCTTGTTTAACACCTTGTAATTAATGAACTGAAGGGACTCCTAGCAGCGTTAACAACAAAATCTGAATCAATCTGTTTCTTCCAGAACTGACCAATGACTGAGAGGTGATCAACCTCTTCTAGACACCATGCAGTGGGGTCTGCTTTGCTATCTTAATTCTTTAGGAAGGAGTGACATAACAGAGCAGAGCAGGAAAAACTGGAGCAGCCTCACATTTCCCCCAAAACACTAAATTTCCTTTCAGATCAGGAATGACGGAGAAGGAAGTGGCTGAGGAGGAAGGAATAAATTGACTGAATGACAGTAATAGATTGGATGATGAACACTTTGGTGAAATGATTGTCAGTATTAGTTAGCTCTCCTGCTGTGATTACCGTGTGTGTCTCTGAAATGGACCACAGCTAACTTGACAACCTCCTTCTCCCCTCCCCCTGTCTCTCTTATGTGTCTTTACATGCCTTTTGTCTTTCAGCAGCAGCTGTAGCAAAGCTGAATCATCTCACGCAGCCTGCCACCTTTGACAAGGGATTGAGCTGACACCTTGATCTTTGACCCAGGCCACTAGCCATGCAGTGTTCCTACCATTTGGGCCAGTGGCTGTCATGTCCCCTTTTTCTCTTGTCCTTTGTTAACAGGCCTCGGCTACTGCCTCAGCTTCCTTCCCACCGTCACCATCCTAGCCCAGTACTTCTCCAGGCGGCGAGCACTTGTCACCTCCGTTGCTTCATCTGGCGAATCCTTCGCCATATTCATGTTTGCTCCTGGTGAGTGTTCTGTCTCAGAGGGGCAGTTAGATAAAATACAACCTTTATCATTGCTTATTACTGCCAATTGTAAAGTGGAACTATTTTTGAGAGTAATTATAATATCAAGTGAGAAAGTGAAATTGTCAGAGATTCAGAGAACAGATGTGATGTGGACAGGTGTCAGATCTGTGCAAAGCATCAGTTCAAAAACGCATCATGACAACATCCAAAACACGTTTCACTCTGAGGTTTCTGTGAGATGAAAAATATTTTCAAAACTAGTTAAGTCACCCAATGTCACTATTTCAACATGGATTGGTTGTTCACAATTACTTCCTGGCATCTAGGGCAGTAGGCTCCACCTGATTGGCCAAAGACATTGACATGCAACGTGTGATCATGTGGCACATATAAATATACTATTCATTGCAGTTCAGCAGTCTTTTGCAATACCTTTATCACACATGTTGATATCGAAATGAAGGTAAATTTTCTATATATAGCACAGCCCTAGTACACATTAACTACTGTAGAATACTCAACTACTGCCCACAGTGCCAACAAGTGGTTTAGTAGATGAATGCTTGACTCGTTGAGAAGTGGGGGAAACTATTGAATGATAATAACTGAGCAAACTCAATCTTCCTGTCTGAAATTGACTTTTTCAATCCACTGGCCGGGTGTATTTTGCTGACCAAAATAATGAACTGTCTTTTTTTAGTCACATATACATCAGGTCCGTAGTAGTATTAGTAGTTTTATTTCACTGAGTGAATGAGATATTGTGTTAAATAGTGATAGTTTAGCAGAGTAGCTGACGTCCCATACAGTCCACAGTGAAGTGAAATTTTGAGACACTGTTTTTACGTGCGTAAAAACACATCTGGTTGTATGTGTGTGTGTGTGTCTTTGTGTCTGTGTCTGTATGAAACGAGAATCTCACCATAGTTTTTATGCCTCCACGCTGGAGATAGTAGCTGTGTTTTGAGGCATTATGTTTTTGGGGTTGTCCATCCATACGTCTGTCTTATTCTCGTGAATGTGATATCTTAAGTTCACCTGTAGGGAATTTCTTCAAATTTGGCACAAATGTCCATGTTGAGTCAAGGATTAGCTGATTAGGATTTGGCTGCCAGTGTTGTGGATAGCCTTCTCAGATTTACTCGCCAAACACAAAATGTACCTGCATTTGGCACAAAGCGGGTGTTGATTTCAGACTCTGCCATCTACCAAGGAATACAGTGAGAAGCGGTCAAAAAAATCAGAACAAAAGTGGACCTTGAATATGTAATTGTAACAATTACGTGTGCTCTCTCCACAGCCCTCACTAAACTGAAACAACACATTGGCTGGCGCTACTGTCTGGTTGTCCTCGGCATCTTTCAGGCTTTGGTGATTGGCTGTGGGCTTCTCCTTCGTCCAATCATTATTGAGCCGGAGCCTGGAAAGGAGGATGGTGAATCAGACAAAGAATCTCTCTCTCTAAAGCAGCTTGAGGCTGTTTACGAGCTGGAGAATGAACAAACCAGGACCTCCATCAGTTCAGGAATCTCCCAGGGTTCAGAGGACTCAGGTGTCACCTCCCTTTCTGCTTCAAACGTAGACCTGAGGACTGCAGGAGCTGGGGAGGTGCAGGACACAGGGGACAAAGAGCTGTCACTGTCTTCACCCCCCACCCCTGTCAAGGAGGATAAGAGCGAACTGGCAGAAGTAGAGGTAATGGTAGAGGCAGGTGCTCTCCATCCTTCTAGCCCCAAACTTCTGGACTTCTCTGTGCTTAAAGATGGTGCCTTCATCTGGTACTCCCTCTTTGGCTTGTTCGCCACGCTGGGCTTCTTTGCCCCACAGCTCTACATCATCGAACTGAGCAAGAGCCGGGGTGTGGAACCCAGCATGGCCTCCTGCACGCTCTCCGTGATGGCTGTGGCCGAGATCTTTGGCCGTTTGTCCATTGGGGTGGTGTTGAACAAAGTCCGCTGCAAGAAGACCCTGGTGCTACTGGGCTGTGTGATTCTGCTGTGCCTGGTGCTGGTGGCCTTCACTATTGTGTGGGAGTTCTGGGGCCTAGTAGTCTGCTGCGCCCTTTATGGCTACTTCATGGGCACCGTCGGCTCCACTCACATCCCAATGCTGGCTGAGGAGGACGTGGTGGGTATCCACAAGATGGCATCATCTGTGGGAGTGTATGTCTGTATCCAGAGCTTTGCTGGGCTGGCAGGGCCGCCACTAGGAGGTACAAAGTCTCTGCTACATTTACTGTTTGCCCTTTCTCTGATTGTACTCATCAGTGAACCTCTCCGTAATGCTTTCCTAACAGCTGTCTTACCTTCTAGGTGTGTTGGTGGATGTCACACAGAATTACGGTGCTGCCTTCTATTCCTGTGCGGTGGGAATGGGCCTCAGTGCTATTTGCCTGGCTCTAGTCGGCCCAGCCAAGTCTGCCATGTGTCAAAGACAGAGCAGAAACAAAGAGGAAGGCATGAGCAGAGAGGTGGAGAAAATATCTCAGGACAGTGAACAAGCAGACTTTTTGGAGGTGGACTTGGCCCTGGAGGACAGTCCTGTCAGAAAGGCTGTTGATCAGGATAATGCCTCTGTAATATGATCCCAACTACAGCATGACACCTCATAACCAACGACTCACCACCAGGGCCAACAGCTAATGGAGTCCAGGTGTACTGCAAGAGGCTGCAGTGTCACCAACATTAAATCCACAAAGATAGTGTTCACAAATGCTGCTTGTTTCAAATCTCAGGTGTCACTCTTTCACATTCTGACAAGCTTGAAGTTCACTCCTTCCCAGGGAGGATGCAGTCTCCCCCCTGAGACCAAAGACATCTCCATGCTGAGCACATGGTGTCACACCTTAATCTAAGTTCACACTACATGACTTAAAATCGTCAGATTGCTGTTCTGTTCACACTACACAACTTCTGTCTTGTATGCGGGAGTCTTGTCACACAAGATCTTTCACCAGGAAGAATCTCGATGAGTACTTCAGGTCAGGGTAGTGCTTACTAGAAAATATCAAAGTCAAAAAGTGATAAAGCAGCGTAAGTTATTAGGATAAAACTTTCAGAAACTTTGTGTGCAATAGTCCACCTTCTCTGTCACTCTCCCTCCCTCCCTCTAACACAGACACACACACACACACACACATGCACCTTGGAAAAGTCCAGATAATTATCATGATAGATATCTGGGGAGTGTCTGCAATGCATCAGCGAGCCTTTCAGCATGTGTCACATAGCGCTCGAGCACCTATTTGCTAGCAACAAGCCAAAGCCAAATTGCCTCTGATCTGTTTTTTTTCTTAGGGAGCTCCAAAAACGGTCAGTGAATGGAAAATCAGGGTTTAAGTTGTGTAGTGTGAACATGGCATTAGCTATTTAACAATTTAAGACAGATATCTCTTCTAGCTGTTTAGGGCAAAGCCACACTTATCAAGAGCTTTCACAATCCTCTGGGTATCATTAGTTTGAGTAACGTTATCTCAGGAAAGAAGTGGTGTTGTCATAGATACTGACACATCATGAGCACGAGTTAGACAAAGCAGTCCTGATATCTGTCAGAAGCCTCTGTGATATCATGACTGTGTTGTGCTGTTGATTCCTGCTCATGTTGCGGCATGCATCCTCATCCAAGCCCTGCAACGCCTCATTCATTCCTGCTGAACACCTGCACACAGTGTTCTTCAACCCATGATGGATGCATGCTGCACAGCCACGACACGGTCACTTCTCCAGCAGAGTCTGGAGGGTGTAACACACCATGGCTTTAAATGTCATACTCCATGCAAAATGAAAAGTAGTCAATCTACCTCTATGCTCTTGATGCATGGAGAAAGATTTCACTACTGCTAAAGCTGGACATGAAAATGCAGTCATGCAGTATGTACATACAGTTTGTGTCCTCTCTGTTAGTCTTACGCACATTCACGATGTGACAATGATATTGATATGCCATGTCTACCGCTATGGTAACTAAAGCAATATTGCAGCTGTGTTCACTGATCCTTTAGAATGAATGAAGGAGCTTCAGCTCAGTCTCTGAACTTGGAGCCTGTATTCTTAGCCTGAGTGTCAGACTGAAGCTCTCAGAACCTTCAGTCTGACATCGCCTCCATTGAAGGTGATTTACAAGGGGGAGGGAATTTGATTTTTCTCTAACCAATCAGTAGAGATCAACGACTCACCCAGAACCTGACATCATTAGTATCCATGCCTCGGGGGTGCCGAAAACAAGTGAGCATTGCCAGTTTAAAATGTCTCCAAAGTAGTGCACACCCAGCTGAATAGCCATAAAATCCAGTTAAGCAGCTTCCTTAATTTGGTCCTCCATTAACGCGAGTAGTGGCGAAATACCTCGATAGCATCGTTAATGTGGTCTGTAGGATCTGCAGCGGTCACCATTAGCGTGGCGCTGATTGGCTAATCGCTAGACCCGCCCCCACCCCCGGCGTTCATTGGTCAGTCCATAGTTTGGACAAGATAAATCACAAATTCAATGAAGTATGCCAGACCAGAGATGCAAGCCTACTCAGTTGAGTGGGCGGGGTCTATGGTCTGGAACCAGGGTACTGTATTCTATGATTCTATGATACTTGAGGTTGTGGGATTCATTTTGCATGAGCCTGAGAAGCTTTAGTTCCTTCTGTAGTGCTATGGGCGAACACATTAACTGTATATCTTTCATGATCCTCTTGATGTACTGTAGAATGACCTTGTTACAACTAACATACAAACTTAAAAGCAATCTTGATACAACAGAAGAACTTGAGGGGTCACAGTGATTTATTTTCTGATGCCATGGCTAACTAAATACAATGTTACAGTTTTTCTCAGTTGCTTTGGTACTCTCAGATCAGAATTGAAATTCTCAAAACTACCTGCTCAACCCACATCATCAATTTATCATTGAAGCAGTTTCTCATTACTTTGAACAAATTGCAAATGCTTTGGCACACTTATGATTATCCATAATTGTCTGCTGTCTCTCACATTTTCAGTTACTTATGTCATGTTGAGTATTTTAATGTTGTATTTAATTTTTTCCACACAGTTAACACAGGTGACAGTCCCACAGAGCACAATCCCATTTCCCATTTCAATTTACAGTTAACCTGCTCAATTCCATGTTTGTATGCGCGTTAAATTTTCCCTGTGTTTGCTCTGTTGAGCAATCCTGATTTTACTGCATTGTCCTGCTGATATCATGTTAGGTAATCCTCTCAGAAAGATGCTTTAGATCCTGAAAGCCTGTCCTTGAAAAGGTACCATCCCCCCCAAATAACACACAGGAAACAAAAGGCATCTACTCTTACAAGCTAGAGGGCAACCTTTATTCTTGGACAACCACTCCATGTTAAATCTAGAACCTAGAAGTATATGTGTATGTCTGAAAAGGTGTGAAGGACAGATTTCACAGGAGAGAAATTCCACATGAAGCGAGTCCCCGCTGTAGCCTCAGATTGTTTCAACACCCAACACAACATGACTTGAAGTTTACTTCACAAACCTTTCCTCAATCACTGTATGACCTTTATTTAAACTGTTTATAATGATGATATGATGCTCATTTTTAATGTTTTTTAATTGTTTGTTTTAATGTTTTTTAAAGGCAGGTATTTTTTAAATAAAATCTTCTCCAATCTCAGATCGGTTTTTATTTGGTGTCTAAGTGCGAGTTTGTCAGCAATGTTGATGTAAATGAATTGTGTACAAATCCTTTAGACAGTCTCACCCATTTCATACAGGAAAAATGATAATATGCAGATAATATTAATTCTCATGCAGCTAACAGTTCTTTGAATTCAGGTGAGGTATAAATCTGGATAAAGTTGTCTCACCACATTACATAACATCACTTCACATCACCCTTTAACATGCTCTGCAATCTTTTGAAGAGTAAAAATTGCATTAACAAAGACAGTTTAATTCCAACAAGCACACACAAGCTTGACTTTCCCCCATCCCTCTCAGTCCACCCCATTGTAAAAGCAGGTGTTGTGACAGGCTCACGCAGAACCTTGACATGAGCTGAAGTCAGCTCACAACCTGACAGGATACTGGTGCTATTTACAGATGTCTACCTCAATTGGTAAAAAGCAAAAAGACAGCCAGCACCACCTCATCTGTTTGTAAATTAAACAGTGTCATTGCTAACCAGCTGTCCCAGTTCGTCTACAGTAGAAAACTAGGCGTGGAGTTCAACATCCAGCAGACACAGATTTATCCAAAAAGGAGGCTCTGGAAACCAAACAGGCGTAAGGATCCATCACAAATGTGACTCGTGTGATTGTGATGTGAGTGTCTATGACTGTGAAGACAATCAAGTAATTGTACCTCAGGCTCCTGCTGCTGAAAGACGACTGCTTGTGAAGCTCAGAGGAAAAAGACAGACTGATAACACTAGCAGTAATTTGGGTTACTGTTGGGAAGGGCAGCAGGGAGATGGAGTTAACTGTAAAAGAACTCTTTTGGATCAAACTCACATCATCGCAGAGAGGTACGGCACAAACAGGAGTCTGGATGGGTCTAACTGTTACGCCCTTGATGATGAGAACGAGGCATGTGATTGGTCTAGGGATATATTCTCTGACTCGGTCTGAGAGGTTCTGTTGCAGGTGGACTTTACAAATTCATCTAAGAATTAAAGCTGTTTTTTAATGTGTTTCAGGCCAGCAGCCCAGGTTATGCTAGACCAGGTGCTCTCAACCAGGGTTCCTTGAAGGAGTTTCAGGGGGTCTTAAGAAACATAGGGAATAGTTTTTTCACTATTTAATTTGTTACAGAAGTGAGACCCATCTGAGTGATAGTCATAAGAGGGACTTTTCTGATCTCAGGTCTCAATTCCCACATGGTTATCTCCACAACTTTACTTGACAACTATAGAATTCTGGGGCCTCATTGATAAAACTCTGCAGAAAATCCACACTAAATGTTGGAGTATGTACAAATTAGGAAATGTACATTTGCTTAAAGATATTCTGATTTATTAAACCATGCGTATGCCTGCCAGTATGCAAGTTTATTTTGTAAATCCCAAATCAATTTGGAATTGTCCTTTTTTTCGGCTATTAATCTTCCCCAAGCTTCAGATGCACAGAGGGAGCTTCTGAATAGGCCTGTCACACATGAGGAAGTCAGAGAGGTAATTAACACTTTACAAAACAACAAGGACCCTGGGCCAGATGGCCTGACATCAGAATTTCATAAGACATTTTGTGACCTGTTGATTGGCCCGTTGTTTAACATGCTGTCATACTCTTTTAACTCTGGGGTTCTTCCCAATACTATGATGGATGCAAATATCTCCCTAATTCTTAAGAAAGATAAGCCTGCGGATGACTGTGCCTCTTACAGGCCTATTGCTTTGCTGGACGTAGACCGGAAATTGCTAGCTAAAATATTAGCCAAGAGACTGGAAGGTATCCTACCTGATATTATCGCAGTAGATCACACTGGCTTTATACTGGGCCGTAACTCTAGTAACAATATAAGGAGACTGCTAAATCTTGTGCAGTTTAGTTCAGAGTCAAGGGCCAAATCTCTTGTGATCTCTTTGGATGCAGAGAAGGCCTTTGACAGAGTTGAGTGGCCTTAT